TTTGCTTCACCCACAGTCTTCCCTGTCTCAATTGATGCAATTCCATTATTTCAGTTATTCAGGCTTCAAACCCTGGAGTCATTCTTGTTGCCTCTCTTTCCCTCACAACCATATCCCAACTGACAACAAAACCTCTTGATTCTACCTTCCAAATATAGACAAACTGACCACTTCTCAAAGCTTACACTACTCTCCCTCCTGAGTCCTAGCATCCTATATCTCACCTGGCTTGTTGCAGTCAGCTCTAAGCAGGCTTCCTCACACCCTACAATCCATTCTCAACCCAGTAGCCAGAATGATCTTTTAAAATGCCAAATCAGATCATGTCATGTGTCTGCTCAAAACCTGGCTATGACTCCCCACACCAATCAGAAAAATTGAAAGCAAATGTCCCTCAATGGCACAGAAAGTCTCACATGATCAGCCCCTGATACCTGTCCTCCTCTTCTACTCTGCTCCCTGTCACTCTCTCTGCTCCAGCCACATTTCCTCCAGGCCACCTCCCACCTCAGGGTGTTTGTATTAACCTTACCCTCTGCCTGGAGTATTCTTTCCTCAGATATGCACTGATCTCAGTCATTCACTGTCTTCACAAATGTAACTTTCTCAATGAGGTTTGTTAAGACCATCCTTTATAAGACATCCTTTATAACATTAGGAGATCTGCCCTCCCCATGCTCCTGATCCTCTTTATCTTGCAGAGCTGAGCCTAAAATAATGACTGACACATAGTAAATACTTAGTAAAAATAGCTGTGATAAATTGAATAAACAAATGTGGTTCTGAAGGGGCTGCCAGTGATATTGTCTCCTGACCACAGTCGACTGGTCCCAGGTGGGAAGAACACATGAATGTGTCAATCACAATCCTTTCCTGAGATTTTTTTTTTTTTTTTTTTGCACAAGGAGCTAAAATAAACGCAGCTCCTCTTTAGTAGTGAAGCTGTGAGGTGTGAGTTGAGAGCTGCTGGTTTCTGTGTTTAACCTATTTGCAAGTAGACAGGCTGAGAAAATAAAGCTAGTAATCTGAAAGGAAATCCTTGTAGTGTTTGAGCCCCTGCGTCCAGTTGTGCCAGTGTCTCTGAGTCTCTGCTCAGCTATTGTTGGTTAAATCAGGAAATTCTTTTCTATCACTTGCCAGTAAAGCAGACCTGTCTAGTGCAGCCTTATCTTTACATGAGTCAGGACCATGAGATGATCATGCCCAATGAAAATCAGCAAGGAGTGCCATCACCCTCCACCTTTTCAGCTCAAGGCCTTATCAATCAATTTTTGGCAAATTCTACCTCAGATACATCACCCAGGTAAGCTGAATAATAGCTTCGAAAAGATATCCATGTACTAATCACCTCTGTGAAGGTGTTATCTTAGATGATGAAAGGTACTTTGCAAGTGTAATGAAGCTGAGATGGAGAATTTAACCTGAATTATCTGGGTGGGCTCAATGTCATCACAAGGGTCCTTATTAGGGGAAGCCAGGAAAGATAGAGACAGATTTGAAGATGCTATTCTGTTGACTTTGAAGATGTAGAAAGTGGCCACAAGCCAAGAATGCAAGGAGCCTCTAGAATTTGGAAATGACAAAGAAACAGATTTTCCTCTAGAGTCTCCAGAAGGAAAGTTAACCCTGTTGATACATTTTAGTCTTCTGAGCTCCATAACTGTAAGATAATAAATTTTTCTTGTTTTAAGCCACTGAACTTATGGCAATTTGTTACAGAAGCAATAGGAAACTAATACACTTCTCCTCCAAAATCTGCCTCTCTTATTGCCACTGGCTTAGATCTGTCCCCATCATCTCTCTCCTGGACTGCTTCCACAGCCTCCTAACTGTTCCTTCTGCTTTCAGTTTCTCCCACTCATAGCAATCCGAAATTCCTCATATGAGGCCTATGATTACAGCATAGTCCTGGTGCTCGATTGTTTTTTTTTTTTTAATAATTTTTTTTCCCCCAAAGCCCCAGTAGATAGTTGTATGTCATAGCTGCACATCCTTCTAGTTGCTGTATGTGGGACGTGGCCTCAGCATGGCTGGAGAAGCGGTGCGTCGGTGCGCGCCCGGGATCTGAACCCGGGCCGCCAGCAGCGGAGCGCAAGCACTTAACCGCTAAGCCACAGGGCCGGCCCTCGATTGCTTTTAAAATCCTTAATTTGTCAAATTAGACTCTCAATGATCTGTCCTCCATCTACATATCTAGGCTTATTTCAAATAACTCAGTCGTTAAGTCCCATATAGCCTCCTGAAACGCCTTATTCTTACATTTTTCCATGTTTATGTGCATGTGATTCCTTCTTCCCCTGATCTCACTGTCCTGTCCTCTCTGCTTCCAACCCAAACCCATTCTCCAGTTAAATTTCTCCTGATTATTTGTTATTCAGTGCTCAAGTACATTCTCTCATTAGAAGTTTTTCCTGAATCCCAAATATTGGCAAAGATGTGGAAAACCTGGAACCTTCATTTATTGCTGATGGGAATGTAAAATACTGAAGCCAATTCTAAAAACAGTTTGGCAGTTTCATAAAAATTAAACATAAATTTATGATATAACCCAGTAGTTACACTCCACATTATCTACCCAAGAGAAATAAATACACATGTCAACACAGAGACATGTATGCAAATGTTCATTACATCTGAAACTGGAAATAACCAAATATCTGTCAACTGGTAATTGCAAATAAATGTGGTATATCCATACATTTGAATAATATTCTTCAGTTGTAAGGAACAAAATACTGATACATGTCTCCACATGTATAACTGTCAATATCATTATCCTAAATGAAAGAAGCTAGATACAAAATATCACATATTGCATGATTCCATTTATATAAAATATCTAGAAAAGGCCAATTTATAGAGACAGAAAGCAGATAAGTGGTTGCCTAGGACTGAAGAGGAAGTGGGAATTAACTGCAAATGGGCACAAGGGAACTTTTGGGGATGATAGAAATGTTCTAAAACTGGATTGTGGTGGTGTTTGCATGACTATAAATTTATTAAAATTATTGAATTTACATTTTCAATGGGTGAATTTCATGGTATGTAAATCATACGTCAACAAATCTGTTAAATAAATTTTTTAAAAGTTTTCTCTGGAATTACTCGAGGTGAGTTGAGAATATTTACCTTTGTTTTCAACAGGCTTTATTGCACCCCAATATTATTGTGCTCACTACTCTGTGTTGCAATCACGTTTACCTCTTCGGTCCCCTCTTCAATTTGCATACAGTAGACAAAAAATACACACTGGATTAAACAATGGAATCAAAGTGGACTGAAGCCACACTGAATATGTTTTTCCTCACTAATAAATTATGACTTTTCAGTAATAAAATGATCTTACTAGACACACAATACTTGGTTTCATTTTTTTTTTCTTGCCCTAAAAGTCCATAGTTCCATTCATGATAATGTTTTCATACCCTTCGCAGTCTGTATCACCAGTTTTGACTTTTTGACCCAGAAGCAGACACTGAGCCAAGGATTCATGTGCAAGCACTTTATTGGAAGGAGTAGAAAACCTGGAATATAGGTTAGAGAGAAGAGAACTGATGCAGGGAAGAAAATACATCCAATAAACCTTACCTTAAGTCAGTTCCACAGCAAGTGAAAGAGTTTTCATCCTGTAGGGAAATTCTGAAAAATGGCACAAAATCCAAACTTCAGAATTATCCCAGCTAAGGAGTGAAGGAGATGGTGTACCCCAAACCTCTCCATCAAAGGCTGTTGCTGGTGAAGCATAATTCTGTGTCACTTATGCCATCAAGCATTGGGTAAATAAGGTTCCACCTGATGCAGACCATTGGCAATCAGGCAATCAAGGAGATTTCTACTGATTATTTGGTATTGGAGATGGCGAGAGGATCCCAGGGAATGTGGGAGAAATGCTGTCAGTTTGTAATACTCCATCCTTCACTGCAGACTTGATTCTATCAATATTCTTCTCAAAGTGGACTAAGTTCTGAATGCATTCCACAAGCGTATGATGTAATGGTGTAATTACCATTCCTGTGGCGACTCCTGAGAGCATCCTTTCCCAAAAATAAAACATGTGAGAGAATAAATCTTACTCTAGTACATTCAGTATTAGATGTTTTGAGACCTTCAGTGTATCCTAAAACTGCAATGATGGGTTTCAATATTGGAGCTTTATGAAATAAAGGACTTTTATGAAATAAAAGTCCGATAACACAGGAAATGATAGGAAGGAAGGAACGAACGAACAAAGGAAGGAAGGAACTAATGAACGAATGAAGGAATGAAGGAAAGAAGGCAAAGAGTGAAACAATATCTCAGAGTTATGCTATGCAATATATTACTATGAATCACCCGGACAAACTAGCTTTCAAATCTAGATCCCTACTTTTGCAGTTGAAAATCACATCACTGTTTTCATGAAAAGTATGATAGCAAAGTTAGGATGTGGGCTCAGTGTCAGGTTTCCAGATTAGAGTCCATCCCAATTTCAATCTCTTTCTCTGAGAAATGGGATAACTGAGAAAAGAAATCTCAAAGAAATGTTGTCAGGATTACATAAAATTATACAAGTAAAGCAACAAGAATAGCTTTGATATGACAAGCACTTTGGTTATGACTCTTGTATGATTTTCATTCCATTTCTTCCAGGAAAAACAAACACATAATGAAATTAAGGTGAAGACATCAACATTGAGAGGATAATTTGGGGGGGATATGATGCCAGCACTTGATATAAATGCTTCAAATCTAAAGTTGGAAATCTCAGGAATGGCTGTAAGAAAGTGAACCAAAACCAGAACTTTATGGGCTACAAACACAGAAGAAAAGACATAAAGTAATTACTGAGATTATTGAGGAGAAACTAATACAAAAAGCAGCAAAAGCAAAGTTCATAGGTGCTTTTCGAATAGAAGAAACAAAGCATGTCTTTTGGGGGAGAAAAAGTACCAGGAGATTAAATTCACAACATTTGCCTTCGAGGCCCACAATGTCCCCTTAGCTCTGAGGCCAGTGAGCCATCACAGACAAGAGGATGCTTCGCGGAGGAGCCTTCCCAGGGCCCCTTTCACATCCTTGTTCCTCAGACTGTAGATGAAGGGGTTCAGCATGGGGGTGACCACGGTGTACATCACTGAGGCGATCGAGTTTCTGTGAGAAGAATGGGTCACAGCAGAACTGAAGTAGACACCCAGACTTGTCCCGTAGTACAAGGAGACTGCAGAGAGGTGGGACCCACAGGTGGAAAATGCTTTATATTTTCCCTCTGCAGAGGACATCCTCATTAAGGAGGAGACTATATGAGAGTAAGAGAAGAGGATTCCAACGAGAGGAAACGCACCCAGAAGGGCAGTGGCCACATACAAGACAATGTTATTGATGAGGGTGTCAGAGCAGGCTAACTTGAGAACCTGAGCCAGTTCACAGAAGAAATGTGGAATTTCAGTGCCTATACAGAAGGTCAGCCACCTCAACAATAGAATATGAAGCAGGGAGACCCAGAAAATGATGAACCAACACATCAGAACCAGGAGGACACAGAGGCGTGGGTTCATGATGACTGTGTAGTGCAGGGGGTGACAGATGGCCACAAACCGGTCATAGGCCATCACAGTCAAGAGAAAACCATCCAGTCCAGCAAAAATCATAAAAAAATACACCTGAGTGAAACATCCTATGTAGGAGATGTCTTTACTCTCTGCCTGAATGTTCACCAGCATCTTTGGGACAGTGGTGGAGGTGAAACAGATGTCTACAAAGGACAGATTGGAGAGGAAGAAATACATGGGGGTGTGGAGGTGAGAGTCAGAGCTGATGATCAAGATGATAAGAAGGTTTCCAAGCACAGTGACCAGGTACGTGGACAGCAACAATCCAAAGAGCAGGGGCTGCAGTTCAGGATCCTCTGAGAGACCCAGGAGGAGGAATTCTGATACTTGTGTGTGGTTTCCTGCTGCCATGTAGCTGGTGTGTCTGCTGGAGGAGGAAGCAAAAACAATGTTCATTGAACAGCCAGCTGGCACCTCAGCTGGTCATCACCTTTTGATTCCACCTTTGTGTGAATATCCTCCACCTGCTCTTTGTCTTTCCAGTGACAGTGAATTCACTCGGCCATATGGTAGCTCATTTTCTTTTAAATGTAATTATTTAGCCTTTTTCAAATTCAGCAGAAATCTCTTTTTGTCTCCTACTTACTGGTTCTAATTCTATTTGATGCTGTGGGCATAAACCAATTTCCTCTATGATATTACACTTTCAAAATAATTGAAGACATTTAATGTCTTTTCCTTGATAATCTCCGTCTTTCCTTCATTCAAATAACTCTATGATAGTTATAATAGATGTGGATCCTCAACTAAAACAAACTTAATTCTATAACCTGATTCTTCCTATTGATGTCAAAGTTAACTCTCATATGCCTTACTTTTCTACTTTCTGAAAATGTGGTTACTGCTACGACCTTCTTGTGAGGTTTAGAAATGCCTTTGCATACAGTATGATCTCAATAAACTATAGTTTTATTTTTATTAACCTATTCTTTTTAAGGCAATTATTTTTGCTGTATAACTCTTCCAAAGTACAATATAGAGATACAATTTAGAAAATGAGATCTTGAGTCAGACTTCCAAGAAAAGAATTTTGGTCCACCAACATACCACCTGTGTGACCTGAGAAAGCCGGTTAATCTCTCTTAGCTGCAGATACCTCACCTCTACAGTGGGAGTAGTAAATATGCCCTACATTGTAAGACTGATGAGTGAATTAAGTGAGTTGATGCCCGTAATTTTTCTTGAGATTCCTGTGACATACAGTGGACACTTGTTAAATGTTCTTAACATCACAATAAATTGGTCTTGCATGGCTATCACTTATAAAATTTCCTTAAACTAGGGTAGTCATCAATAATGGAATTCTGATCATTATAAACACAACATGTCTGTTATCTCTTTTGACTGCCATGTAGCACTAATTAATGAAGATCCCTATGGCTTCCTCTTCCAGTGACTGCCTGCCGTGTGGATTCTTCCAAGAAGAGGGAAAAAATGTGAACTACATAGATAAGAGGAGGAAAAAAAATCACACAACTGTTAAAATAAAATACAAGGTAGGTGTGAGAATGTGTGCTGAGGTGTACATGCTCAGAAGCTGGGATGTATTGTATTAACAATATATGCAGTTAATTATTTAAAAAAAGATAGATTTGGTTAAAAATATACAAAATTTCTATACTTAAAATATCCTTAAAAATTTAAGGGGCAAATTTATGATGAAAATGTTAAATCTGCATGATAGAAAAAAGGTCATAGTTATTAATTCTTAGAGAATGCAATTAATTAAAGAGAAAAAAAATCATTGAGGACCAATTTAGACTGGAGAGGTGGCTAGAAAAGCCTTCTCTAAAATACAAATATTTGAGCTATGAGAGGAAGGATGGAAAATTGATAGTCAGAGGAAATAAGGAAAGCACAAGCATTTGGGGCTGAGAGAACAGAATTCATGTTTGCTCTGTGGGTCAGTAAGCTTGGGAATAAAGGGATTTGAGAGGCCAGTGAGATGGAGAACAGAGAGTGAGGGTCAGGAGGACAGAGTGGGTGAGCCCCAGAAGTCCAGCATCTTCTACTATTTCTTGATTTTTCTCTCATGTTAGTAATTTTATGTTTATTTGTGGGTCAGAAAATGACTGTTTTTACTCTCCAATATCTTTCCAGGGATTTACGTGGTGCCTGGCACATAGTATGTGCTCAACACATACAAATGTTAGATGTATAATAAAGATTGAGACCAAAAACATCAACTATGATACAAAAAAAAGAAAACTTCAAGCTCACATATGCCTGATATAGACACAAAAATGAAGAATAAAGTTAAATTAAATGCATTCTTATCTATTTTAAGAGAATAATACACCATGAATAAGTAATACCTATTCTAGGACTAGGAGGATGGTTTAATAGTAGGATGTTTGTAACATAATTGAGCACAAAAATAGGTCAATGATGAGAAATCATAACTATAATCACAATAGAAAATGCATTTGAGAAAATATAACAACCATTACTGTGGTTAGCACCCAGACAGAGCCTCTCGCTAAATGAGGAAACTAAAGACAATTTCTTAACCCAATAAGGAATGGTTGTTTTAATCTACAGCTCACAGGATATCCTGCATTAAAACACTAAAACATTTGTATTAAATTCATGAACACACAAACCAAAGCAGTGTACTCCAACTGTAATCATTTGATATTCTCCTGAACATTAAAAGAAATTGGTAAAAGAAGAAAAGATAATTAGCCTGAGTACCAAACATAAGAAGTAATTATATTATTAGTAAATGATATTGTGGACACTAAAGTGGAACAACAACAATCATTACAGAACTATTAAGTGCTATCTGTGAGTCGAATCTGCTGCAAAATAAGGAATATAATAGAAAAATCCAATCACGTGAGGAATAAAATAGATAATACCTCGTGCATAATAGACTGCCAGTCTGTAGTTAGTGAATAAATGATTGGACACGGGATCTCCAGCAGGAGCCTACAATTATGGGAAAGAGTAGAGAAGAAGGGGAGACTCTCCAGAAAATAATGTTTATATGAAAAAGGCCCTAGATTACAAAAAGAGGAAGAAGGAAACAGAACAAGAGCTAGAAAAGACTGGGTTCAGTGGAAACTAAAGTCCCTTCACAGTACAGACTTCACCATCGTTGATTAAATAAACATGGGACTGTCCCAGTCTCATTAGTTTAGAGGTAAAACCTAGGACCCACTTTCTCTCCTCTTTTCCTTCTTACTCCATCAGCCCTCACTGGATACACTGACCTTCTCTGATGGTTATCACTGAAGCATTCTGTTCTCTGAGGTCTGCCCCTGGGAAGCCCAATTGGGTTTTCACCTAGGCAGGAGTCAGAGAATTATAGGAAAAGGGCAACAGGGACATGTTATTATTATCTCAAGGTTGAATTCTCAGAGCCTCTCATTAAACAAATTGTTCTCCTGACTTTCCTCTTTCCAAACAATTCAGCTCCCTTGAGGTATAAAGATAAGAGAACGGAAAATTTTCAGCCAATGTTGTGTCTGTGTAGGCAACAGCGGGGGAAGAAGAAGGTATTTTCTCAAAGTAAAAATTCTTCTTTCTTTGATTTGACTTAAAAGTGACAAGGTGCCCCTAGGAATGTTTAATTTCTACAGGAACCAACTGTCTGTGATGTTCTTCCCTTGAAGAATCTTTGTTGATTTCAAGGATCACTTGGCATCCACAACATAACGGAGGCAAAGAAGTCCTTTCTGAAGAAAAACAGAGTGGTTAATAATTTTGGTTTTGTGGAAAGGTCTAAGCAAGTGAGGATAGAAAATATCCCTTGACATTTGTTGGTGACACTGAGGCCTTTGTTGATATTAGGGAGAGATCCATTTATTACCTCTAAATAGAGGGGCAGGGGCAGAAATAATCCAGGTAGAGTGGGTTTAAAAGTAAATATTGAGGAAATAGAGGTGGCAAATATGAATCACATGCAAAGTTTGTCAGAGGAGTGGAGCACAGAGATCATACATACCCGAAAGGGAGTATCAAGTATGATAAAGTTAACAAAAATTTAATGGAAGATATGTGAACACATTTAATTTCAAAGAGTGATCATATCCAGTGCAGGCTTTTGAGTTCACAGGAAGCGCTGATTACATAATTCACAGGATGCAGTATACACTCTAAATCAATGACAATCATAATGTGTCGTATCTCCAATTTAGAGAATACATAGGTCTAGAAATCAAGGTTTGGAAGTAGAAGCAGCCCCATCTACCATCTCTCCCAGTGAGCCATGTGGGGAGTTTGTGCTTCAGGTCTCCACACCTCTGGCCTCTGCAGGTTAGAGGTCTTGACTCCTAAAGCGATAACACGTCCAGAGATATGGCAAAGTCCCATTAAACTTCCAGCTATGCTGCTGCCTGGCATTTTGGGTCACTCATCTGAAGGAGAGGAGTCACAGACCTGGCAGGGAGAACTGACCCTTGTCATCAATGTCATTGTGTGACCATGGCAATGGGCATGCACTAGTACCTGCTGTGCTCAGTCAGTGGCTGGGAGCAGCCCAGAAGTAACATCAGTACAAACACAGTGGTGGATACAGATGGTCATTTGTCAGTTATGCTCCCACAGCAAGAGATCTGAGTGATCTGACCTTGAGTGAGGCAGCTTCCTTTAGCCGAGGGCAATTCTCAAAGAGGGCTGAGGGCTGAGGGCTGTCAGATGGCTGCACCTGCTGTACCTAGAAGAATAAGCCCTTCATTCTGAAGGAGGATCTGATCAACGCAGTACAGTATTCACTAGAGTCCATCCCTTGGGACATTTGGATCAATTTTTTTAATTGATATATAATTTACATATAACATTATATTAGTTTCAGGGGTACAACATAAGGATGCAATATTTGTGTATGTTGGGAAATTATCACCACACTAGGTCTGGTTAACATCTATCACCATGTGTAGTTATAAATTTTTTCTTATGATGAGAACTTTTAAGATGTACACTCTTAGCAACTTTCAAATATATAATACACTATTATTAACTATAGTCACTCATCTGTACATTACATACCATGACATTTATTTTATGACTGGAAGTTTGTACCTTTTGACCACCTTCACCCATTTGCCCTTCTTCTGGCAATCACCAATCTGTTCTCTGTATCTATAAGTTTGTTTTTTGTTTGTTTTGTTTCTAAGTCTGTCTCGATCAGTATATTAAAGAACAATACACCATGGGTCAATAATATTTATCCCGGGAATTTAAATATGCTTCAACTTTAGGAAATCTACTTATATTCATTAGTGCATAAATATGTCAATTTAAAAGCTGGCAAGTTCAATAGGAATCAAAATGTATTTGATAACATTTATCAGCCACTGCTGCAAATGGTGGGGTGTTGGTGTGTGGGGGCGGTGCCGGCTCTCAAA